CTGTGGTTATGGGATTGAGCTATCCTCTAGAAACTCTTATTCGAATCAAGATTAGAGCATATGGTCATTAACATCGCTACCTGCTGTGAATTAGAACCTAAATCGATACCATTTGTGGAACAATTGAAATTTGGCCAAAGGGACCTAATTGAAGACTTAGTTCATTATGGCTCCCTCATATGGAAATTGTTATCACTAAGTGAAGTTCAAGTCCAAAAGATACCTATACTTATTGCACGGTATTATGTTGCCATTATTATATTATATAAATATTTATCTATTTTGAAATTTAAAACTTGTGAGAGATTGTTGTAACATAAAATAAAGTTTAATTATAATGGTTTAATTGTGGGGGTTGATATTCAATATAAAATGAGGTGACATTTTATCGAAAGATAGAACTAGGAAAAAACAAGTTGAAGGATTATATTCTATACAATTCATACTATATTTTTATACTTTAGCAATTAGATAAAGGTTCATTCACTTATCATCACTTATCTCCCTATGATCGTGCTCATAGAAAGAGAATTGACTATAAGTCACATGTGTTTTAGCTTGAAGCCGTGTAGTGCAGGAAGTACCCACACGAAGGGGAGGAACACAACTTTAGGATAGTGTTCTTAACGTGACTTCCTAAGGTTTGCATTTCTAACTCTCTCTTCTTATGTTTCTCTTATTGTTGAATTATGTTTATGTTATTTAATTGATAAATATCTACACACAAATCACCTATTTTTCCTAACAATAAGTAGGCTTCAGAAGGTCAGAGACTGCTTGCATATAGTCTAAGGTTGATGATATATGAACTTTTAGATAGTATGTGATGAAGGAAGTTCACAAGTGACAAACATTTTAGCACTTCACATGTTTAAATGAATTTTTTTTTTTTAATTATAAAAGTCCTAAAATAGTTGTGTACTTTACCTAAGAGAACAATTTGCTTACAACATTGTAGAGTATCACTCTATCCCTTTTTGAATTTCAATTTGTTCAAATAATTGATTCGACTAATGGTAACATTCAATTGAAGGACCTCAACGACACTCCCTAGATCCCTAGTCCATTTCCCTTGTTCCCCATTGCCTTGATTTGGACAATGACGTAGTAGATCAATCTAGTAGTCGGATGGTTCTTTTCTAAGATCTAAATGAGTTTTCCTTGCCATCCTCTCCTCTTCACTAATAAATGAGGTAGTTGATAACGTGTTCTCCTATATGCTTCTTTACAAAGACGGCTTGGGCAATGATGACTATGTGACAAATGTCCTACCATCAAATATTATTGTCATTAGCTTCGTCGATGAGATGGAAGATAACAATAGTGACTTGTTAAATGTGGATGATGCTTAACATGTGAAACGTGTTTATTAGATGATCTATGTTCAATTTATGTTATGTTATGATGTTTTGTTTTTATGTTAATCATTAAGATTGAAGTGGTTTATTCCCTCTAGGGGTGGCAATGGGCGGAGCCGCCATCTATTCGCGAGCTTGACTCGGCCCAAGAGCTCGTGACTTAAGAGTCGATTCGAGACCACGAGCTCAACAATTTTTTTCAAAAACGTTTTTTGACTTTTTGTTCCCATTTTTTTTACGAGCCCACAAATTGAGCTGGTTCGATTTGCCAAATACAAGCTCCAGCCGTCCTTTTACAAGCCAAGCGACCAAGTCGATGAGCTGCTCGACTCGATTGCCACCCCTAATTCCCTCGCCACTTCCATTCATCATCTACGTGCACAAATTGTTCTTATACGACACGATGAATCTAAAATTTTCGCTCATACTTGAAATTAAGTAAATGAAATGGAAAGCAAACTACACAAGTTTAAAATATCGAAGTTTAAACCCATGCACGATGTATCTATGAATAACTTCTCTCATGTGGTTTCAAATTGATTAGACGGACATTTAAAATGTCTATCTGATGGTTACAAAATGTTGAGATTGACATTTAAACTATCTATCATGACGGTTCACAGCTGTCGAGATCGCATTTAAGGTATATAATGAAAAAATAATCTTGATGAAGCATTAAATATATTCATCAATGTTCAACTGTCATATGAACAAATATTAAGAAATAATTTACATAAAGCTATATTAAATAGAGGATCTACCAACTTTTTCATGATTTAAAGTAGCTATATTTTCCCCAAAAGCTTACAAAACTAATCAAAATCAACGAATGAAAAATAATTTACAAAATAATGTGATGTTAGTATTTAGAGTATGTTTGAACCCCATTTTTGAGTTTTTTTGACTCCATCTCATTTTCCTATAGTATTACACTGGTAACATCTTACAAATTACTCAATTTTTTTCAGAGATGACACAGGAGGAATAGTGTCATGAGTCATGATGGCTGTTTTACTCTCAATGAAAAGAATAAAATTTCATCAGAAAAGCAGAAAATGCAATAAGAATATTTCAATTGAAGGGCATAAACGGAAAGAACAACATTCCAAAATTCAAATGATTGCCTGTAACCCAGGTGGTCTCAGTTTTTGTCAGGCAAGCCGTCTCACTGCCTGACATGGGCCCACATTTGTTGGAAAACAAGTGGAAAAAATGGGGGCCAAACACACGTTTAAGATTCAATACTATTAATTTCTAAGATATAAAAATATTCAACATATTGTAAATGTTAACCTCAAATTGAAAGATATATTCACTATGATTTCAACTTAGCGCAAACTTCACTTCATCTTCTCCAGAAAATGTTATAAAATAATGATTTTTTTGGTTAACTAATCTATTATTTTATTGTGTAATGACTAGATTCATGGTACCTTCTTCAACAAGACATACATCCAATCTTGGCGTTGATTAATGGAATACAAAAAAAGTAAATAAAAGAGTAAATTAGACTTTTTGCATTTTATAAAAAGACATTTTTGCAACATTTTGAAAAATTGACAAGTTCTTTGTCCATTTACGTTTAAGTGACATCTATGCCAAATCCCCTTAACTATACTTAACAATGGAGTAATGTTACGTAGTCTTACTGAGATTGCAATCCCAATTTTGGTGGTTCTAATGTATTATTAAATGATAAGTATAATTGAACGAGTAAGTCAATTTCACTTTTCATTTGGCCTATCATCTAGTGTTATCTATATTGGGGTAGTAATTCTAATGGGACTATATAGCATTACTCTTAGCCCCCTTTTGAGCCCCATTACTTGAAAATGAAAATGGGGGGAATAATATTTTTTAGAAAAATAAGTGGTTAAAAAGGAAAAGTTTTCGATTTACATGTAATATTATTTTATGAAAGATTGTGTGGTTAAAAATAGGAGAAAGAAAAATGGAATGTAATGTAATTTAATTTAAAAGGGATCAAACGGGGGCTTAATAATACTTTTTGTTTCTGTGACATTAACTAAGCCCTCGTTTGAGCCCCATTAATTTTCATTATATTATATTTTATTTTTCTCTCTCCTATTTTCAACTACACAATTTTCGATAAAATAATATTACACATAAATCGAAAAAATTTCTTTGTTTTTCAACCACTTATTTTTCAAAAAAATACTATTTTACCCATTAATTTTTCTACGTAATGGGGGCCAAACAGGGGTTAAATTTAAACTGAGCCACCATTTGGTATAATTTATTTAAAAATCTTTTTTTAAAACTTATTTCAATTGCACATTACTCAAATAAAATAATTTTGCATGTGTACTCATATTTTTTTCTTGTTAACCACATTTTTCAAAAAACTCACATCTCACGAAATCTATTATTGAAAAAAAATAAACATCAAAATTTTTATGTATGTTATGTGCATTAAATTAATAATCTTTATTAAATAATTTTTACTATATTTTTTAAAAAGCTAAATAGAGTTTTGTTTTGGTTAAATATTCATAAATTTATAATTTATGTTACTTAATTGATAACATCCTCTATCCAGATTCTATTGTATTGTTTTTCTTAATTGATAATATGCACTTAATTAGTGTAAACTGTAAAGATTCTTCTTTACAAGTCCAGAAATCACGAGAATCCAAGATTAGAGCTTAATATATTATTCAAATTTTTAAACTCTTGTGCATAATGGGTCACTAGAGAATTGAAACAAAATCTTTCTGGCCGAAGTATAATTATATGTTCTATTTTGTACCCAGGATTCAACAAAATCGTACAAAAGGTAAAACTTGATTTTTTACAATAATAACTTCAAGGCTGCTTGGTGTATAGACAGAACTCCTACCGACATCTCGCATGGGCATGGATTAAATTTTGGCCTTTGTTTATTCAGATGGAGTCTACTCATTTGTGGGTGTCCTGTACATTTTATGTAAAGCACAAATTTGTGCACACAATTTTATTCTAATAACTTAGTAGTTAATTAACTTATAACATTGTAATCGCTATTATTATTATTATTATTATTATTATTTTGTCATTTAGTACTATTTGATAACTATTCTTTAAAAAAAAAAATTCTCATATTCATTTTTAACCACATATGTTCACAGCAAAATATTATTCACATAAACTTAATTTTTTCTACTTTTTAATTACAGTCTCTAAAAATTTACTATTCCAAAATTCATTCTTTCCAAAAAATTCAAAAGATTGATTATCGAAAAGGGCCATAGTAAAAATTTGTTAATTTTTTTTTTTCCTTTTTGGTTTAACAGAACGTCTTGTGTGGAAGACTTTTATGTCAATGCCATAACAAATTGTTCAAATAAATTTTTTAACTGAATTTCCGAATTAAAATGATAAAAATTGGTGAGAAGATTTAAAATAAAATAAGTTTGGGGATTAATACGAAACATTTCTACAAGTTGAGTGGTTAAAAATAATTTTAATCAAATAACCCGGTCAGAATCGGGCTTAAAATACCCACCCGAATAAGAAGCCCGTTAAGGATATGAGTCTTTCCCACCAATGGCATTTTACCTTCTGTCACTGTAACCAATAATAAGTCTCCACGTGGAAAATCAACTTCTTTCGGGCGGCTCTCTTCTACATAAAACTCCTCAGCACAACAAACCAACCAACCAAAAATTGCACCGACAGTTGAACAATAATCAAAAAGAAAAATAAAAAATAAAAAAATTGAACCCGGTGATCTTAGGGTTAAATTTTACTGCGGCGATCTGGTGGTTTCCGGCGGATTTGCATTGCAATGGAGTCTCATGGAGCCGGACTCCGCCGCGTTCTGCTCCTGTCCGTTTGTGTCGTTGGCATTTGGTCCGCTTACATTTACCAAGGCGTCCTCCAAGAGACCGTGTAAGGCATTTTAAATTTATATTTAAAGTTCCATTTATCTGTATAATAATTGCGATTAATTTCATTGGGACGCTATTATGTATTATTTGTTCTGTGAATTGATTTAATTGTTGGAAAATTGTTTTTTGGGGGAAAATATGAAGATTTTGAAAATTAAAATTGTTATTTTTATTGCTTTACGATATTAATTTGTTCTTTTATCTCTAGCTATCTTATAACGTGCTTGTTCGATCTGTTTTGTACTTTTGTCCGTGTGAATATGATTTATTTTTATTAACTATTGCCAGTGTACAATTAATTTTGAATTTGTGGTGGAATTTAATTTAGGTCGACAAGGAGATTTGGTCCTGAGAAGAAGAGGTTCGAGCACTTGGCATTCTTGAATCTAGCACAAAATGTATTCTGTTTGAATTGGTCATTCATAAGTAAGTTTTTGAATGTTCCCCTTTTTTTTTTTTTTTTTTTTTTTTTGCCCCTCACTTATTTTGGTCTTGAAATGCATGCTTATAGTTACAATGTTATAATGTGCAGTGATAAAGATTTGGTCCAATGGTGGTGATGGTGCTCCTTGGTGGAGTTATTGGAGTGCCGGTATAACAAATACAATTGGCCCAGCTATGGGGATTGAAGCATTGAAATATATTAGTTACCCTGCTCAGGCACGTTCGAGATTCTGCGAGTTTTCAACTTGCTTTGCAGTATTTGTTACCTATAATGATTATATTTGCTCTTCTAATGTTTTCATTGCTACCTTGCTTTTGTAATTAATCTCTGGACATAGTCAACTTGTCTCAAAGTCCACTTCTTAGACAGTTGGAATGCTCTGGCTGAGGTCTGAAATATTTAAACTAAAATGACATGCGTAATTATAAAACAATCTGAATGCTTTGTGTTTAATCTAGTTGGTCATGTTTGTAATAATGTTGTCATATGATGTTTATGTCGATCAACTTGATTTATTTAGTATTCCAGAAGTAAAATATGCTTAAGTGAATGAATCTAAATATTATTTATGCGCGTTGCCTCCCTAAAACAATTCTTGACCCCTCCCCCACCCCCCCAATATCTTATTTTCTATTCTTCCTTTTGAGTTTTAAACGTGCTTTCGAAGCTTGCGAAGCTGTCATACAAGTGGGACACATTGTCTTTGCAGAAAAGGAACTTGAGTTTAATATGATGTAGACTAAAGCCATGTAAAGTGTAATTTAAATAAGAGTTTCAGATGGAAGATATGACCAAGAGATAATTTGACGTGTCAGGGCTGTGTTTCCGGATACTTTTGAGAAGTTCAGCCAGAAGATAGTTTCAATGTAAAACCATAATATATGAAAGAAACTTCTATATTCTATGGTGTGTATAGACTAATCTCATCATTATTATGTGCAGGTGCTGGCAAAATCCTCAAAAATGATTCCAGGTGAGCTGTGACTATTTGTTGCTAAATTGAATGGTAAAGTCCTCCTAGATGCTATATACATTGCACTTAAGTTAGAAGCGAAGTAATTCAAAATTTTACTGTTCTCTCTCAGAATCTGATTGCGGTTAGAAGCTCACGTGTTTAGTTATGTTCAATGAAATTATAAATATCTCTGTTAATCTGTCCATAGACAATTAGCTTTGCTCTTCATTAAATTATATTATAGAAAAGAGCAATAAAAGAATTTATATTAGAACCTCATTGAATACTTGGGTCAAGTAGGCATATTCATTGTCAGGGGCCATTTTTGGTAAACAATACATAATTGTAATGGGAAAAAAGTCTGATATAATTATGTTGCTTAAAGTGCTGGAATTTCCTTGGGTGAATTTTAGTCTGGGTCCAGTGGAAAACTTCTGAACTGTTCTTATTAATTGACTTTTTTCTTTCTGCAGTTATGCTGATGGGTACACTAGTTTATGGAATTAGATATACCTTTCCAGAGTATCTTTGTACATTACTTGTTGCCGGAGGGGTATCAATGTTCGCACTTTCAAAGGTGACTATCTAGATTACGATCTTGCATCCTACTAAAAATCTTTCCTTTTTGTTTGTAAACAGCCAAATCTTTTTGTCAGGAGCCATAAAATGTTTAAATCTATGATCCCCTAGAGATGAACCAAACATAATTGTTCTTTTGAACCTAAACTCTCCGATTAAATTAAAAGAAAAATGGAAAGTATGAGATGAAAAGTAATCCCCATTATGATTTCTCTCTTGCTGACCTAAAAGATGAAACCGAGGAGTAACTTGTGGATTCTTTCTCAATGTCTATCTACGCTCTATAGTGTTACTATCTTTTCATATTTATATCCAAGTTCCAAACAGAGCCCCAAGCCTTATACCCGGTAATTTGGATCAGCTTATATTATTCCATTCTTACCACTCTGTCATGCCTTTATTTTTATTTTTTTTCTGAACACTAACCCCCATTTGGCTCCCATTAATTTTTATTCCATTACGTTTCATTTTTCTCTCTCCTATTTTTAACCACACAATCTTCCATAAAATAATATTACACGTAAATCGAAAAATTTTCCTTCCTTTTTAACCACTCATTTTTCAAAAAAACACTATTCCGCCCATTAATTTTTCCACAAAATTGGGGCCAAACGGGGGCTAAAAGTGACCTCTATTTTGATTGGTAAACTAACATTCTGATTTCAAAGTTCAAGCTTAATCATATTTTATTGTTTGTTTCAGACTAGCTCGAAGACAATAAGCAAACTAGCCCACCCAAATGCTCCACTTGGATATGGGCTTTGTTTTCTGAACCTTGCTTTTGATGGATTCACCAATGCCACTCAGGATTCAATTACAGCCAGGTAATAATTTGTTGGTGCCGCTCCAAAATGCTTCTCTAAGTTTTGTCCCGTGGACAGATTCAAAATGATTCTTGAGTAGAATTTTTTTATCTATCCGTAACTTCTAACATTTTTCTGCGGCCAGTAGCTCTGAATGTGTGGTTGGAACATGCACAAAAACATAACATGTATAACATATTCTAACTAGTCAATCATATTCTTGCTATTAACTGTCATCAAAGCCATTTTCCAACTTAAAAAGTGCTTGATGCGATAACTTTTACAGTTACCAATAGAATTTGCCTATATTATTCAGGTACCCAAAGACGAGTGCTTGGAATATAATGCTAGGAATGAATATATGGGGTACCATTTACAATATGATATTCATGTTCGGGTGGCCAAATGCCATCGGATTTGAGGCAATTCAGTTCTGCAAGCAGCATCCGGAGGTTGCATGGGACATTTTCCTCTACTGTTTGTGCGGTGCAATTGGCCAAAATTTCATTTTTTTAACCATTAGTCGATTTGGTTCACTGACTAACACAACAATAACCACAACACGGAAATTTGTAAGCATAGTGGTATCTTCACTGCTGAGTGGCAATCCTCTGTCGTATAAGCAATGGGGAAGTGTTGTCATGGTTTTCTCAGGATTATCCTACCAGATATATTTAAAATGGAGAAAATTGCAGAGAATGCAGAGGAAAAAGAAGGCAATGTGAGGAAGTCCAGCATTGTTGAATTTAAGACGCTAGGCATTTTTCCCCCTCTGATAAGATATTGATCATAAGGCATTGTGGTTGTATTATCAAAATGGGAGAATGTAACTGGTTAGATATATAGACACTAGATAGATTTCTATATAAAGCCCATCTGTAGAAGTTTTGTTTACATATTCAGTAACTGTGGATTCATGTGTTAATCTCAGTTGGTCAAATATATATTTTTGTTCAGTTATTAGAAGCATGTTTGGCTTAGCTTAAAGTTAAATATTAGCTTCTTTTTGCTTATTTTAGCTGCATAAATTGTGTATAACTTTGTATCACTTTTCTTATTTCCTTATTTTACTTTTCAAGTAAATACTTTGCACACAATTAATTTAAATCGATATTCTACACGCCTACATAGAATATAAGTTGCATTCTAGTGTCCAACATATATTTATTTGCAATCAATCAAACGAAAAAAAATACTCATATTCATCTATGTGTATATAAATATACTTTTCACATGATATTGATTTTTGGAGAAATATTGGATTTTTAGCTCTTAAATGTTGACTGTATGCCTTTATTTTTTCCAGGGTAATTGCCCCAATATTATCTAACGTTTGTACTCAAACCTTGCACAATACAACATTTTCTTATATTTTGTACACAAAGTCTTGTAAAAAGATAAATTTACTTCCTCTTTAAATAAATAAAAAGCAAAAAAAATAATTAATTGCAATAATTGTCTCAATTTTTCAAAATGTGCAAACAAGTTCATTTATGGATGTAACTAATTCTTTGTTTTTTCACTTTTTGTTTATTTAAAGAGAGGATAAATTCGTCATTTTACAAGGCTTTGTGCAAAAAGTATACGAAAATGTTATATTCCGCAAGTTTGGGTGATATAGGAGAGTTTTGTACCAAAATGAAAGGTCAAGGGAGTATTCCATAAAATAGGTAAATGTTAAGAGGTATTGTGGCAATTACCCTTTTTTCAAAAGCTTCTTGCCTTCTTCTCCATCGTTTACTGCAGTTGCTAATTTCTTGAACAAGGTACTAAAGCTTTTCCTCTTTATTTGCAACTATTGTGCAATGTTGAATAAGCAAAATGGTATACTTATATTGGATTTATTTTTCATCATAATGCTTAATACTTATTACGTTCTGATTCTTTGACATTTGGAGCAACTAAAATAGTAGATATCTTATGGACGGGATAAAATGGCAAATACTTAAAAGGCCCAGATAATACGAATCGCAAACAATTGACAGTAAACTTGTAAAAAAATTAAAAAACTTAACACAAGCGAATTCTTTCGACCTAAGCCTCGGAGGTTCGATGACCACATCTAACGTCTACATACCATGTTGAACATCTAATAAATTGGATATATGCTCGATTGCACTAAGTGGCCTAAAATGAAAACAAAGATTATAGATCGGATCTTCCAACATGAGAAAAGTACAAGACACTTAACTCTTCAACGATAAACTACTAATCTACAAAGAATTACTCAAGAAACTTCAACACGCCTACTGAAACTATAACTATAGGAATCCTCTCATTCTTACAGTATTCACTCATAATATTATAGATATTATATGCTAAAAACTCAGATCTCGGTCTTGAATGAGCTTTTCAAGAGAGAAGAAAACCATAGATCAAAACCTTAGCCTTTAAAAGAAAAAGGCATATATCTTTCAAACTCAAACAGTCAGAAGAACAGGAAAGGAAGAATTGTCAAGTGAAACGACATTGTGTGTATTATATATCTAATATGACAAAGATGCTAAATGTATGGCCATGATAAGGATACGTGTTCGCATCATGTAAAAAAAAGGCCTCAACTTAAGAAAGTTGCATTTACAATAATGTAATTTTAGCCAAATTTTTTGGAGCACATCATAGATCACTAGTTCAAGCCTCAACAATCTTTGCTACCAGAAATTTGAGTTCAAAAGTGCAGCCAAGAGCAACATCAGCGGTTTAATTTTCATTTGCTCTAAGTATTTGTTTATGCATTACAAAGTATCAATAGATAATAACTTCAAATAATTACGAAATTTGTTTAAAGGTATTATTTTAGTTCCCATCTAAAGAGTTAAATTGGGTAGAAACCTTACCAATTTTCAGAATTCCTTTCGAAATAATATCTTTAATAAAATGATATATAATATCTATTAGTTTAGTCCTATCATGAAACATAGGGTTTTTACTTAGATATATAGTACTTTGATTAAGGGTACAAAATTGCATTTGCATCAGCAAAACCAAGTTCATTCAATAGCCTAGCGAACCAAATACCTTTTTTAATAGCATCAAAAGTAGTAATGTTTTTTGTTTCGGTTGAGGACAAAGCTACAACATTTAGAAGTTGAGATTTTCAACTAATTACAGTAGCACACAGAGTAAAAAAAAAAAAAATAAACAAACTAAACTAGATTTTCTATTTTCTCTATATCCGGTAAAATCAAAATCAGAAAGACCCTCTGAAGTTATCCTATCTTTATTCATTTTAAACACGATCAAAATTTGAAGTTCCTTTTAGATATCTTAGAAACCACTTAAAAGCATTCCAATGTTTTCCCCTAGGGTTACTCATAAATCTATTAAGTATGATACTACTATGAGTAAGATCAGGTCTTGTACATATCATGGACGATGCTACATGTACACTTTCCGTATATATAATGTTTTACACCCCCACATGGAAAGGGTCTCATATAATTTATTATGCTTGGGCCATTTCCAAGTGAGGGGGTGTCAAAGATTATATACACGAAAAGTGTAAAATTAAACTAATCCTAAATACATAATAGATCTAATTGCATATACATATGAAATTCTAGACATTCTGACAATTTCTTCATCAATTTTAGGACAAAACTCGGATGAAAGTTTAAAATGATTTGAAAATGGAAGTGTAACAGGTTTATAGTAAAAAAATTTAAATGTTTTTCAATAATTTGACCACATAATCACGTTGATTCAAAAATAGCAGATCTTTTTTTTTTATTCCTTAGAATCTGCATGCCAATGATCTTTTTGGCAGAACTAAGATAATATCAAATTCAAATTTCAATTCTATTTGATATCATCAATTTCAAACTTTTAATAACTAGCAAGTAACATGACATCAACATAAAGCTCTAAATACGAAGAGTTTTATACTTCTTTATCTTTGCAGTAGATAGAAGTATCATAGTTGCTTCTTTGACTTTCATGTTTCAAAACAAAAGTGACAAACTTTTTGTACAATTGCCTTGGGGCTTGTTTTAACCCATAAAGTAATTTCTATAATAAACAAACAACATTTTCAGAATCCCCTTTAACAAAATCAATAGACCGCTTCATATAAATTTTCTCATCTAAATCCCCATAGAGAAAAGGAGTTTCAATATTTAATTGATCAAGTTCCCATTTAAATTGAATAAATGTAAGAATGCATTTGATAGTGGTATATTTAAGTATAGGGGAAAAAATCTCAGTATATTCAAATCATTCCTTTTATGTGAACCCTTCAACTATAAGTCTAGCTTTATATTTTATACTTTTATTTCCCCTTCATCTTCTTTTATCTTTTAAATCCAATTACAATCAATTAGCTTATAACCTCTAGGTTTTTCAACCAATTCCCAAGTTTTATTTTTAAAGAGTGAAGACATTTCATCTTTCATGGCAGCTTTCCAATTTTTAGCATCTTTGCAGTTAATACATAATCATAGGGTTAGGTTCATTTCAAATTGATCCTGATAAGTAAACAATGAAACAAAATAATCACAAATAAACCTAGCAGGTGATCTGATCTGCCTTCTCTCTCTATCTCTTGTGAGTTGGTATTTATCAAGAGAAAGAGTTGCAGGATCAGATTAATTATTAAAATCAGGCCCTGTTTGAGCCACATTTTTTGAAAAAAAATTACATTCTTATACAACGATTTGACATCATTTCTATCACACATTCCTCAATAAAATAATATTATACATAAATTCAAAACTTTTCCTTATTTTTTAATTACACATTTCCTATCAATACACTATTCAAAAATGCATTCTTATGAAAATAATAAGGCTCAAACGGGGGCTCAGTTTCTTGGTTGTTTTCATTTTCAGTTAAGATAACATTTTCATCGAGATCAGATTCATCAACTGCATGTACAGGAGTTTCTCATTCATTTTGAGGAGACTCCACCTCAATTTAAACATTTTTCTCAATCAAGTTATTTTTCTTTCCTTCCAAACATGGCATAATAGGTTCATTAAAAATGACATTTCTTCTAACAATTACCCTATATCATTTTTCACTTTTAACCTACAATCTATAGCAATTAACATTTTTACCATAGCATAAGAAACACATTTAAGACATATAGGTTTCAATTTACCAATATCTTGATGAGCACATGCAGCACAGCCAAACACTTTCAAGTGAGTATAGTTAACATGATTTTTATACCAGACAGATTCGAAATCATCAAAATCCAAGGCACTAGTAGGCATTTTAAATTTCTTTTCTTTTGATTCATTTTTCTTCTTATAATAGTCTTTGAAAAAATGACCCAATTTTCCACAATAATAGCATTTCCAGCATTTTGCCTTATTTTTGGATTCATTCTAATCACTCTACTTATTCTTGTTTTCATTTAAGGTCTTTGATACTAAATCCTTTTCCTTTTGCTAACAAATTGTCTCTACTATGACTTTCTTTTGATTCAGAATTAATCTCAAGAGCCTTACTTCTTAGACCATTAATGACTTAATCAGTAGTGATTTCTGCTCCCACCGTATTCTAAAGCAATCTTAATGTCTTCATATCTGTCCCTGATGGAGTTTAACAGAACTACAGTTAGTTGATCTTTTGAAATTTTTTCTTCATAATTGGCTATGACTTGAGTCAATTTAGTGAACATATTCAAATTATCATCCAAATCAATTGAAGGATTCATTTTCAAAGAAAATAGCTACTTTGACAAATATCACTAATTTGAACAATCTCAGTCATATATTTAGCATGAAGTTTAGTCCAAAAGTTCAGAAGTAGTTTTGATTTCACCAATGTCCTTATCACATTATCAGATGAGTATAAGAAAATAGTACTTCAGGCAACTCTTCAAATTCAGTTTTCTTTGTAGGATGTAAATCCATATGCTAACTATTACCTAAAACCCTAACATATTTCATTTGCATTAAAACAGCTTTCATCTTTTGGCTCCACATATTAAAAACACCTTTCCCATCAAATTGTGCAATTTCAAACTTAGCATAGGCCATTTTATTATTAAGAGCGATGCAAAAACAGGAGTCAAAAATTGATATGGCACAAGCAGAGACTCAAAAACAATTATAAATCACAAATCACAATAGTACACTTAGTAGTACAAGATTTTTCAAGTTTCAGTTACACTCAAGGAACATGCAGAACAAACATAGATAAAGAACACAATATCATAGATCACAAGTCTACGTTTCAGAGATTTCTCCTGCAAAATCCTTAAGAGACACACTCGTACTGGATTTATCTCAGATTCTCAAGGCTTCATTTGAGCCTTTGGACAAAGATTATTCTCTAGGGGACTTCGATGCATGGTAAATCAAGGGGAAAATCAAGAAATCCTAATTTTTGAAAAGTACTTTTACAAAAATTAAAGGATCTCACCCAGGGAGTTTATAAAAGACACGACGTCTTTAACTTTTGCTTGATAGCTGTTCTAAAATATTTTAGATCTGCAACATATCTATATCTTTCTGCAAAGATCAAGGTATCTTGTTTTCAGTTCTTGCTCTGAACCACTAAAATGGCCCAAATGACGCGATATTAAAACAAGATTTCAAGTAATTACAAACAATTGAAAGTAAACTTGTAGAAAATTAAAAGATTGAACACAAGTGATTTCTTTTAGCTTAAGCCTCGAAAGTTAGGCGACCACATCTAACCCCTACATTCCCCGTTGAGCATCCAATGAATTGAATGCATGCTCAGTTGCACTGAATTGCCCAAAATGGCAACAAAGAGTACAGATCGATTCTTCCAACACAAGAGAAAAGTACAAGACACCCATCTCTTCAAAATAAATTGTAGATCTACGAAGAATCATTCAAAAAAACTTCAACATGCCTACTGAAACTACAACTATAAGAATCTTCTCATTCTTATAGTAATCAATCATAATATTACAGATACTAGAGGCTAAAAACACAAATCTCAGTCTCAAATGAGCTTTTCAAAAGAGAAGAAAACCACAAATCAAAACCCTAGCCTTTTAAAGAAGAGGCATACATATCTCAAACTCAAATAGTAAGAAAAAGAGGAAAGGAAGAAGTGCATGCACTGTGTGTATTATCTATCTAATACAACAAATATGTAAAATGAGGGCCTTAATAAGAACACACGTTGCCATCCTGTAAAAAATGGCCTCAACTTAAGAAAGTTGCATTTCCAGTAATATGAGTTTAGCCAAATTTTTGGGAGTACATCACAGATCACTGGTTTGAGCCTCAACAAGAACCAATGTAATTTGAACAAGAAGGCCAACATTCCGCTGAGAGTTTCGAGAAACATTTGAAATGAATTGAGGAGCACAAAAATAAAAAGAGCTACAATTCAGTTCTTTAGAAGATCAAGAGGAAATTCTTCCAGAATTTGAAGGACATGCTTATGGTCAATTGGATTCTGTATGGCAAGATGATAATGATGAAGAATTCTTGAAAATGATGTTTATGGATGGTTGTTTTATGTTAGAAATACAGGTTACAGCCAATCAAACTCTAGACTATGCTCTGAATGATCCCATCTTCGGTAGTCATGGAATGTTTATCGAGATGACCTACCTTAAACGCGACATGTTAAACTTGAAAACTAGTTGTCTTTGTCAGTTCTTCAGAAGCTAGTTAACATTGAAAACAAGGTCTGATTTTTGTTTTACGTTTTTAGCATCAACTTATAAATATTTGTATCTTTTGTAACAGAATTTCACTTATCACTAATCATCATATACGTACTCGTGTTCTTTTTCTCAAACATCTGCCACTCACCCTAGTAAAGGCTTACAGATGTATTACAAAAGAGCCTATTTGGATATTTTACCCATCATGCTACTACAATCATTGTGCATTTAGTAACTATTGCAAGAATTGTCGTAACTAATGGCTGGCTAATCTCATCCCCTGAGATCCTTGTAAATATTTCGTCGAAATTGCTGCATAGTTTTCGAACTCACAATTGTTCCTCTGGTGTATGCCATCTTAGGTCACTACCATTAATCAACCTTGCACATGTGCCCATATTGATCCACTTGAGATCTTTTAGATGCACATATTCCTCCCGAGGGACAATTGGAATGAGGGCGTAAGGGTCAAATTCTGATGGTTGATAAAACCCTCACGAATCTAAGGACAAATGCTTTTTTGTCTCAAATTATACTTGACTAGATGTTGTGACATTAGTAAACCAAAATTTGAACAACCTTACTTCATGTACAAAAGCTGTTGACAGATAGACTGACAAATATACAAGTTGACCCGTTAGTGGATGTTGGCTTAAAAAATAGTTTTACACCATCTAATGATGGATTGACACGTGCATCTATCAACCCATCTGGCAAAAGCTTCCGTAGAAGAAGCTTTATTCAAATTCGAATAATTTTTTCTATCTTTTAAAGAACTCTGCAGAACTTATTAATTATATTTGTACAAATAAGAGGGACCTCCATAATCATCACCCTTAATTAAAGTTGTCCACGATAATGAGGTCCCATATTAGGCCATAATATGAGCATATGAGAATATATAATTACTACTTTCTCCCCGAGATTCAATCACTGCAAACAGGAAATTCAAGGTCAAACTAGGCATTTCAGTAAATTTAAAAACAAAATCTTGAAGGGTGACAGCAATAACTTTATTTTGCACAATCTTCCCTCCCTCTTTTGCCAATAGCTTTTTGCTTTGTTCATAATCACTGTTGTCCTCCAGTATCCACATTTGACCATGTTAAATACCCCTTCTTCCCCCACAAAATCCACCCCCACCCTTTTAAATAGCTCAGAAGAGTGACAAGCAGAAAAAAGGAAGAATGTCTCAAGTATGGATACATCATAGGCAATAGGGCAATACAGAAATAGATCGAGCAATCTGTAAGTATACTTTTCAGTTAAACTCTTGTATTCAGGCTGCATGCTTATTAACCTTCAGTGCTTTTTGAATTCTGTTTATGGTTTGTTCTTGCTTTCAGATTTCTTCAAATTAACAGCAATGAGTCTTTCTCAGAAAATAAAACTAGACTAGAAAATATGTATATCTGCACAACAGTAATCGTATAAATTCTTCATTCCATTAAAGTATGGAATACAACAAGATCTAACACACCATGAAAACTTGTTACATAGTACTGTGCACATCTAAAGCGCAGTGAATAGGAGCCCAATGCAACTGGTTGGTCCTCCTCTACTCTGTCTCCTGTTTTTTTCCTTTTTCTCTTCTCAATCTCTAAAGGGTATAGTTGGCGAGGTGCCATTGTATAATTACTCTCCGAATAACTACATAATTGAAGTATGGGGTCTGTACAATCGGCTTATCTAGCCAAAAAACTTTTGGGAACAACGGAAAGCCATATCCGAGTTCCATGACAAGACAAACGAAAGAATGACACACATGAACAAAGCAAACAGGAATCAATGTGAGTATTAGGTCGAAAACTCTCAGAAGGATGCAGATCACAGCAATCAATCTTCACAAAAAAGGAAAATACTGGAATGCTCCTTAGCACCCTAGATTGTGAAGCAGATCTTCATAAGCCTATTTCTAAAAATCTCAGGTCAAGATGCCTGCTATCCGAGGACAAAGAACTCCAAAAGATTAATAAAAAAGCTCTACATATGTTGAAAACTCCCGATGAGTAGATGTGATTCTGAATTCTGCAGAATATTGTATGTAAGATCAATAAGTGAGACTGGTCAAAGACAATGGAGGAGGGACCTTTTGCAAGGTGGAGCTTGAGATGGATTGGTGCTTGGACTTGGGAATGGTAACTCCATCCCAAATGTTTTCATTAGGAAGTGCTTCTCCTGAACAATGCATAAAAAATAGACATGTCAGTCTTTCATCGCATATTCACTCTAATGACATGTTTATTATGGTGGATTAAAGAGAAACTAGATAGTATTAAATAAGAAATAAGAAGTTAATATGTTGTCTATTATATAGTAATCTAGTACATTTTAATACTACATACGATACATGCAATAATTATTTATCAAGGAAAGATATGATTTTGAAAAACTCATTGAAACATAATTAATTTTCTTTAGCGGTCAGTTTAAGGATCTTATAACATTTAAATGACTAATTATATAAGTTTGTTTAATACAGGATACATCAAAACTACACAAAAGTGATTTATTGATACGATGATTTGTAACTATTCATGAGTTACTTTTCTATCATGGAAAAACAGCCTTCAGGGTAAATTGCTAGCAAAAATAAAGAACCTAATCTCAGGATAAAAGAAAACTGCAAGCATGCACTTGTATCTTTGATGCATTTCTGAAAATTTAAATCAAAAGTTTCAATTACAAATATGACACTAATTTGGGTAACTGGGGAATGATGTGAGTAGAAGTTAAGTCAAGAAGCTGAATAATATAAAGAAATGGATAAATGGTGTAAAGGTTTTCTTCTTTCTAGTCAGACATAGCCACTATGAGCATTTCAATTCGTTTTCGAGAGCAAAGTGGTAACTTAAAGATCAAGCTATAAAAGCCAATGTTGATAGAGAAGGGAATAATTCATTTAAGTAAATTAATTGTTCAACATGCTTCCTCACATGTATGTGCACAATTTTCATAAATGGGTAGTGGCACAGAGAGGAAAAATTCATTTATTTAAATTTAGTATTCAATGTTGTTTACTACTCATGGCCACTTAACTTAAAGCTCAAGCTATAAAAGCCAATGTTGATAGAGAAGGGAATCATTCATGTAAATTAATTGTTCAACATGCTTCCTCACATGTATGTGCACAATTTTCATAAATGGGTAGTGGCACAGAGGGGAAATGTTCATTTATTGAAATCTAGTATTCAATGTTGTTTACTACTCATTGCCGCTTGAGTTAGCTAGTCTTATATACTACTATTGAATTCGCCTGCAAATTTTTCAAGAGCTGACTGACAAGCGACAACACATATAAGAGTTCTACTCAGAGTAGTGAGAAGGAAAGAAAGAAACAGTCACTCTTTTGCCTTTTTCTACAACATACAAGGACATAAGTGGGCTTATGGAAATCTACTATGCAGTTGTTTGGCGTTCCAGGAAAATCAGCAACTGTTACGGAGTGAATCTGATAGTCTAAAGTATAATTAGCAATAAAGTAAGATGAGCTATGAACATTCTAAATAAGTTTCAAGTATCCACTTTAACTTCAGATTAAATATGGAGCAAAGCAATCTCAAAATTCAAAAGACATATATAATCAGGGAAAAATGACTTCAAAAAATGCTACAGCTACCACAACTAATGCCTCGACATTCTGCAGATTAGATTTTTTCACAGATCGATAATCAGGTGGAACCTCCTACTGGTTCCCTTGATATTATTACCGAAGCATTGTTTAAAATATGTTGCCAACACTAAAACTTATTGCTGGGGCTTATTACGAAGTAAAAAATAAAGCTTGGGTTTCTTACACTTTCTGAAAATTTCGGGCTGGGAATTGCAGCTGCCAATGACCTGAATAGTGGAGTCACTTGAAGAGGGGAACTGAATTCTGTATTTAAATATTCACCTACAACTCCATCGTTAGCTTTTACTTCATCAGTTGATAACAAGTTGTTCTCTGCAATAAAATTAGAAAGAAAAAAAAATACATATATCAGGCATTATCTCAAAGTAACAATTCTTGACTTTCTCATCTAATGACCCTTACAGTTAAATATTGGTAAACATTATACCTTCATTTGCGGCAGAAATACATATTCTGTTTTCCTCAGCAAGACTTGGTTGATCACCCAACTGACTTGATTGTAACTGGAGCCCAGTTTCCTGATGAAATGTACATCGTTCGGCTTGACATTCTTCAGGATTTTCACCGGGAGCATGAGATAGCACACTTGATCCAGTACTATATTCTGAGCTGGCAGGGGTCTCATCATACAAATCAGGTTGCCTGTACAAGTGTCGATTAGATTTTCCAGTCTAATTGAGCTTCTCACACTTATTTCAGTCTTCATAGTTAATTTAATTACCTCCAAGATAGCTTACAGCCTTCATTCTTAATCAAATCCTCCATCAACTCTTTCAAATTCTCTAGCTGCAAATCGGCATCAGAAATTCTATATGCCAGCAGATCACTATCTTTGTTTTGCTTCAAAAAATGTTGTAGAACCTGGAAATATTTAAGTAGTTAACGTTTTACCCTGATAAAACAGTTTTCAATATATGTTGAGTAACAACACTGTTTTGTAGCCAATGGGAATGAGAAGCTTATTTTACAAATAAAATATGCTGTCAATGTCATCCCTTCAGAAGTGTTGACAGAAGGCTGAATATGGAAACAGTAGTCTCTCCTACACGTCAAATTTTGTAAAGCCTTGCTCTTTTGACCATTTTGAAATATATTTTGGAGATTGTAATGAAATTTGGACAATCTCTGGTTAGCCCATCCTTCAATTTCAAAATGAGTAATAAAGAAATTTTATTCACGATTTTGGTTTTTTCATAAGAAATCTGGATAAAATGGCTGGTATTGAAATAATTTGACACATGGCAAAACAAGATCAAAACATTTCTTCTTACTTTCCAGGCATTTTCGAAACTCTGATCCGTATTCTCTGAATTAACTTTGATTGCAAGTGAGCTGAGTAATTCTGCTTGCTGCATCAATGTAAGCATCTTTGGATCATCCTTCTTAAGAAAGCTTCCTTGAATTTTGTCATTTCCAACTGCACAAGGATATCCAGAACGACATATATATTATTTTCGAATTTAAACTTCAAGTGTATTGAAAAGCTGCATTGTTGTATAACAAATAATGTCCTGATTACTCATTCACTTCACTCTATATGGCTTTGAAGTTTGAAGTGCTGAACTTGCAACAACATAAAAGAGTTTATACTACAAAAAAAATAAGACCAATACTCACGTCCATCAATTGATGCCTCGTTTACGTGGTTGATGTCCAATTGAGTCAGCAATTTACCCTCATTACTATGGAAGTTTTGTGCCAGTACTGCAAAAGGGGGTCTAAATAGATAGTTTGTGACAATATTTTCTCCTTGGTTCAAATTATCATTAGGATTCAATATGTAGGACCTAGTAAAAAAAA